AAAGCACACGCACATCGCGCGTAAAACGCCCTACTCACGTACTTATATTAAGGTCATTATTACGCACAAATAAGAAAGAAGGAAGATGGGAGGTATCATTATTATTAGCATACGACATTCATCAACATCGATTATCATCTCGTGAAACTGAGCTATATTTCACATCTCGTTTACTTCTACTTCTACTCTCATTTTAACCACTACCACTACTTCTACTACTTTTTCATCTTTTTCTTTTTCTTTAATTTCTTCCTCCTCTCATTCTTCTTCTTGTTCGCGTATCGTTTTAATTATTATGATTTTCATCTTACAAATCAAATCGCAAACGTTTGATCTCGTTCTAAGGAAGGAGTTTTCCTTGCCTACTCATTCTACTCGTGCACGCGTTCGTGTTATCAACACAACATTTACAACATGGGATAACGCATGCATACATTTTTATTACTTACTATTAGTTTACCGTAAAAAAAAAACCCACGTCACGAGTATTTTTTTTTTTTAACATTAAATGAAAACGTTTTAATTCATTTATTATTACTCGTTTCATCTTGCGATTTTTTTTTTATACACAATAAAAATGGCGTCACACGTTGTCATGTCTCTAATAATAAACTATATCATTTGGTTTTTTTTTTTTATAAGGTAAAACACGAGCAATGGCATAATTTTTATTAGTTTATTGTTGAGCATAATATAGAAATTAATAATTTTTTAACCTAACAGGAAAATTATTACGACAATTAAACGATTTTTCACCTTTTATTAAAACTAATTTATTACACAATTGAATATTTGAACGACGACGTGAAACAAAAAGAAAAAATCAATTATTTATTCTGGTAGTCACCTGTGACATATTTAACATTACATTAAGTACTTTCTTTGGATTTTTTAATTGTTTTTACGTATTTAAAACGTTATTTAGTTTTTAATAAAAAATTTCGTTTAAATTTAACAATGTAAAATTTATTTAATAATTAATTGCGTGCGTTGAATTACGTTTGAAATGTTATAAACATAAAATAATAATAAAAAAAATTAAACAATTTATTTTTAAACGTAATACATAAAAAATGATCCATTGTTTAATTTTTTTAAAAACAGATTAATAATAAATTCATAAATTTAATTAAAGACTATTATGAACAAAGATGATCTTGAAAAAAAGAAAAAAATTTTTTTTTTTTTTTCGAAAACAATTATTAAGCTTAAATTCAATAGTTTGAATTAATTTACAACAAATTAGTTAAAACGAATATATATATTTAATGACCGAAATAACAATTAAAATTCAACAAACGCCACAAACGAAATAATAATAATAATAATAATTATGTAATAAATTTTTTTTTTCAACGGGCCAAAAAAATTCTATTGACTTAAATTTTTGACACTCAAAGAGGTCATCGTAATTATGCCATTAAAAAAAAAAGAAAAAAAAAATTACAATTTTTTCAAGTGAACAAATATTTGTATAATGATTGTCTAATTTTCAAAATTCTTTTGTGTTTATTATCATAAAGTAGTTGTTAAGTAATCATGATATCAACGGTATCAACAGTTAATATTCATTTTTTTTTTTTTTTTGTTTTATTACTACCTTTTAAAAATTTTAATTAAATTAATGCTATACGTTAAATGAAAAATAATAATAATAATAATAATAATAATGGTACAATCGATTTATTCATTGTAAGAAAAACAAAAAGAAAACATGACAATTTATGACAGGAAGTTGGTGACATAACATCACAAGCTATATTTATTATTGTCAAAATGGCGTCTCACGGATAAAAATCGAAGAGTTTATAAACGTTATAAATGAAAAATTGACAAAAATTTAAACAAAACGTCATCGATTTGTAATGACTTAATAAATAAATATTAATAAATTAAATATTGCAGGTATTTGATTACAAACATTATATTGTAATTCATATGTGGAAAAATTAAAAAGATAAAATATAAAATTATCATGATACATAAATTACATAATTATGCCATTGCTCGTGTTTTACCTTATAAAAAAAAACTAAATGATTAGGTTATTATTAGAGACATGACAACGTGTGACGCCATTTTTATTGTGTATAAACAAAAAAGCGCAAGATGAAACGAGTAATAATAAATGAATTAAAACGTTTTCATTTAATGTAAAAAAAAAAAATACTCGTGACGTGGGTTTTTTTTTACGGTAAACTGATAGTAAGTAATAAAAATGTATGCATGCGTTATCCCATGTTGTAAATGTTGTGTTGATAACACGAACGTGTGCACGAGTAGAATGAGTAGGCAAGGAAAACTCCTTCCTTAGAACGAGATCCGACGTTTGCGATTTGATTTGTAAGATGAAAATCATAATAATTAAAACGATACGCGAAGAAGAAGAAAGAGAGGAGGAAGAAATTAAAGAAGAAGAAAAAGATGAAAAAGTAGTAGAAGTAGTGGTAGTGGTTAAAATAAGAGTAGAAGTAGAAGTAAACGAGATGTGAAATATAGCTCAGTTTCACGAGATGATAATCGATGTTGATGAATGTCGTATGCTAATAATAATGATACCTCCCATCTTCCTTCTTTCTTATTTGTGCGTAATAATGACCTTAATATAAGTACGTGAGTAGGGCGTTTTACGCGCGATGTGCGTGTGCTTTCGATGAACCCAATTCGACGAAAAGGTATTGAAAAATGGTGGCGCACACGTTCCGGATCCGCGTGTCACGAATGAGATGAAAAAAAAAAAAACAATACGTATTTATTTATTCTCCCAAAGCTAAACGTGAACGATGCAAACAGATTCGGAGACGAAGAAGAGACAAAAGGGGTGGATGATGATGAGTGACGTTATGAAAGATGAAAAAATTTTTTTTTCGAGTGAGACGATTATAAAAACGTCTCGGTTACAGATGATCAGCATCAGTTGTCTGAGATCAGTATACCAGATTCGACCATCATCTCACTCATCTCATTCTAATACGAAAGGATCCTAGAAATATATTACCGAGAAAAATGGCGAAGGTGAGTTTTTGGTTTTTGGTTTGAGTGAGTTTTGTGATTTTTATATATTCGTAATACAGATGATGAAACGTGGGCGAGATTTTGGGATGCGCCCGAATACCTGGAGGATAATACGAATCATTAGAACATTTTGAATTTTCAGGTATTTTTCATATTCGTATCGTTACTTGCGGTCACTTTGGCAGAACCTCCGGTGAAAAGCTCGTACCTTCCGCCGAGTGCCAGTAGAAGTTTGAGCGGTCAGTACGGTGTACCGGCATTCACGGATTCGAACGAATTGGTGGCACCTTCACCGAATTCCGGGCTCAGTGTTCCCAGCGCGGCCGGAGGGTTGTCTAACACGTACGGAGTACCGTCGGCACCGGGTGCCAACGTGCCATCCTTCGATTCTAGCGACAGTATCGCTGTAGACGCCGCAGGTAGAAGCGGAAATTCGTTTTCGTCTCATGTTCCTTCGTCGACTTACGGTGCTCCCGGAAACGGATTCGGCGGTGGTTCTCGTTCATCACAATCTGGTGCACCATCATCGGTTTACGGACCTCCCCAAGCCCGAAACAACAATTTCGGTAACGGCGCTGCTCCATCTTCGGTCTACGGACCTCCCCAAGCCAGAAACAATAATTTCGGTAACGGTGCCGCTCCATCTTCATTGTACGGACCTCCACAAGCTAGGAACAACAATTTCGGTAACGGCGCAGCCCCATCTTCGGTCTATGGACCTCCACAAGCTAGAAACAACAATTTTGGTAACGCCGCCGCTCCATCTTCATTGTACGGACCTCCACAAGCTAGGAACAACCATTT